GTTTAACCGCTTGTCTACCAGCGCCATTTATAAACTGCATCTGGTAGGCAGGGATTTTAAACTTGTAGAGCAGTAGATTAGCTTTAATGTGGAAGTTATTTGGGTGGCTGTAAAGCTGATCATTTCACCAGCCTGTCGAAAGTAAAGTATTCCTAATCCCAGGACCCTGCATTCACTATATCTGGTCTCCCACAGTACACACAACATGGAAATTATTATTATTATACAGGATTTATATGGCGCCAACAGTTTGCTCAGCGATTTACAATTTAATTGGAGACAATACAGCAACAATACATCAAAAAGAGGGAAAGGAGGGCCTGATCCTGGGAGCTTACAATCTAGGAGATGCAACTACTCCTAGATTGTAAACTCGAAAGAGCAGGGCCCTCGATCCCCCTCATGTTTTGCATTGTATTGGTATTGTTCTGTCACATGTTCTGTCCCCCTCTGTAATGTACAGCGCTGAGCGAACTATTGGCGCTTTATAAATACTGTATAATAATAATAATAATTTTAGTAAATATAAACTGTTAAATACCTTTTCTCATCAGCAGTATACAACAGTCTTGTGACTTCTATCAGTGTCCAGCAGAGCACATGTTAAAGCTTATAGGAGGAGCTGTCATTCTGCTCTAGGAGGATGCATAACCCCTGACCATCTGTCTGGACAGTCCTGATTGGCCCTGTGCTGATCACATGCATCCTCCCAAAAAAAAAAGAAAAAAAAATGCTCTAACAATACACAGCAAACTGAGCATGTGCAGAGTGACTCCACACAATATGTATTATCAGGAGATAAGAGGAGGACACTGTAAGAAGGGGAGGATCAGAGAAGACAGGATCAAACATCCTTTTTACAAAATGCAGAAGATTAACCCCTTAGGTTCCACAGTGAGTATAACAAGCATTCTTTACTGCATATGGAGACTGATTTTACTGTTGTGGGTTTAGTAACACTTTAAAAATTATAAAAATTTTAAAAAGCACAAAAAAATCTTTTAAAGTCCCATCCCCATGTACATGCACATAAGAACATAAACACATGTAGTGCTGCTCCTACATATAAAATGATGATTGTTGTTTACTGTAATATTATATGATTGAACCCTATTTCTTTCCCTGTTTTCCCCTGTTGTTTTCCTGTTTACCCTTGAAAATCAATAAAAAGTATTGAAATATAAAATGATGATTGTGCTGCACATTATAATATATATAACATCAGTGTGCAAGCAATAATTCTAGGGCCATCATTCATGGTTAATTCAAACCAATAACCTGTAGACTTTAAAAGTGATGCCTATGCAGCATGACTGGTCCCTGAAACCATCGAACTGGTCAAGGCCTCTTTGACATCATCATGCTGGATTGATGGTCCTACATTGTGCCTGAGACCTTTGAAGGCCCGTCCATGTCTCAGAGTTTCAGAAAGTGAGCTAGCAGTCAGAGGAAAGGAATAAAGCAAGGATTGGCCTTATCTCTTTACCCCTAGACTGCACAAGTATTAACATTACAGTGAGGGACCCACTGCTAGGGTTCAATTTTGTTTTAGTGGAGTTTGACGTTAAATCCCAATTGCACCTTGGGCAAAAGTAAAAAAAAATGGACTTACCCAATCTTCAGTCCCCTGTGGACTTACCAATTCAGTGATGTTGTACTACTCCTCTTCCGGGTTGAATGATTCTAAAAAGTGAAGGCTGCACCTCCACGGGCTTCAGAGAGTGGTGTCATGTCATTATCTGCAACATTTAGGATCTGCCCACTGACAGAGGGTGAAGGAGACCTGTGACTTCACTGGACCAACCCAAAGACTCACCAATCAAGTGTTGGGGTGACAATATAATTCTAGGTTAACTAATGCTTAATGGTCAAGGATCCACCCCCCCATGAGAGTGCAAGGTAGTATAAAAAGTATATTTTAAATTGGGTTGGGGGGCTGAAGGGTGAGTGAGACCCTGAGCTTGCAGTCGGGCTTTAAAGAGAAACTCCAGGATAGGCAAAAAAAAATCACACATTTATTTATTTCAGGTACTTATATAGCGTTGTCAATTTATGCAGCGCTTTACATATACATTGTACATTCACATCAGTCCCTAACCCTCAAGGGGTGTACAATCTAAGGCCCCTAACTCACATTCATACATACACATACTAGGGCCAATTTAGACAGGATCCAATTCACCTACCAGCATGTCTTTGGAGCATGGGAGGAAACCGAAATACCCGGAGGAAACCCACGCAGGCACAGGGAGAACATGCAAACTCCAGGCAGGAGGTGCCGTGGCTGGGATTAGAACCAACAACCCTGGTACTCCCAGGCGGAAGTGCTAACCATTTAGCCACTGTGCTGCCCAGTACATACCCCAAAAGTGGAAGTTCAGCTTGTTTGCCTCCTCCCCCCCTCCTCTGCCATATTTGGCACCTTTTGGGGGGGAGTAGATACCTGGTTTTGACAGCTCCCACTTCCAGCTCAGTTTGCCGTGGCAAAGTGAGCCCAAAGTTCAGCCCCCTCCTTCCTCCCGCAGTCTCCTGGGAAGCTTCACAGGTTACAGAAGACTGCTGGACCAATCAGAGTGCGCAGTGCGGCTTGCGCATGTGCAGTGGGCAACTGGCTGTGAATCCGCAAGCTGTCACAGCCTGGTGCCCACAGTTGAGATGGTGGCACTGGGGAGAGAAGACACAGAGAAAGGATGCCACGGGTGAGCACATTGCTGGACCCTGGGACAGGTGAGTGTGTGTTTATTAAAAGTCAGTATGTTACGGACCGCCTGACAGCACCTCTATCAGTCCCCTGGTAGAGCCTCCCCAGAGTGCGGAGTCTAAGCACCGGAGCACTTGTTCACCAGGGCCCCTGATGGTGGGGATGGACTTGGAGCGCTCCGGTACCAGGTCGCAACTACCAGGTATCGCCAATAGGGGTAGAGGAGTCTGACAGGGGCTCCAGAGAGCTAGGAGTCTGATGTAAGGGAGCCTAGTGATCCCTGCGGGGTGGGTGGATGGATGAGCTAAATCAGAGTCATGCAGGCCGGGTCAGTAACTAGCGGATCGGTAAGGTACAAAACGGTAGGCAAAGGATAGTCGGGTCACACGCAGGGTCAATACCAGGAGGTCAGATCTAAACGGGAACATCCAGGAGCAGAGTCAGGCAAGCCAAGGGGTCAGGACGGGAGAAGGCAACAAGGTCAAAACAATCCAGATCAGAAGTACTCACACACAGGTAACAGGATACAAGACCATTCGGCAACAAGTGTCTGTGCAGGGCTAGTTTAAATAGCCCGCCCTGCACCTGACAGGCGTAGCCTGGGTCCCAGTGCCTGCCTAGTACTGTCCAGACGACGGGTGCGCCTGGGTCCTATTGCACTGCCACCTATACGTCTCGGCAGACACCTACACATGTGTAGACCTATGCGTCGCGATGGTTCCTGACACAGCAGCTATAGTTTTTGTAGCTGTTGACTTTTAATAACACAAAACTGACTGGAACTCCACTTTAAAATCCTTACCATTTAGGAGGAAAAGTCTAATTGGATTTTTATGATGGCATCTCTGTAATTCAAAAGATAACAGCATTTGCCCTGCCAAGTAGAAGGTGTAACAACAGGGATTACATCATATCCTCTCTCCCTCTGCAGTAAAAGGAAACTACAGTTCCCATCACCACATGTAGTGAACATGGGCAGGAACACTAGGCCTGTACATGTTGAATGCGTCTGAGAGTCTCGGTCTGCCCACCACTACAAGTGTGGCTGAATGACATCACTGCTTCCTGGAGAAAGAACTACAGAAGGGATGTGCCAAGACCAGTGGCTGGAGGAATAGGAGGCATAGCAGCCACTGGTCTTACAAACAGGAAACCAAATAGATTTACCGGTTTGATTTGAAAATGAATAGACTATTTCACAGCAACTACTGAGTGAACCAGAAGTTGGATGACATATTCAGTGAAGGTAGGAAATCAGCAACAATTAAATGCAAAGAAGTTTTTGCCCGGAGGTCCGCTTTAAGGTAAACACTGCCATAATAATTGAAATTACACAATTTCCCTTTAAATTCTCAGAAAAGGATTTTATTTTTAAACAGACCCCCTTCTGCAAGATAACAGCCAACTCATTTCGTTAGCGCTGGAACAAACATAATTAGCTAGATTACAACTGAATGTAACCCCCCCTGTTAATCTGCGAAGAATGAAAGATTTTAAGTAAGTGAGGGGGAGCGCACAACTAAATTGGCTGCCCTCCCTCCGAATTGATATTTATTTATGGATAAAGAGATCCGGCGTATTAAACAGAAAGATTATTTTATCCGCGTAACAGACAAATTAAACATTTGAATAACTTAATGTTGTGATTGTCACCAGCGTTTCTGGAGGTATCGGTGATTTGATGTAAGATGTAATCACTGTAATGAATAACCAAAGCACGCTCAGCTCTAACATTGCTGATCAATTGTTAATTCCAGTTTGGAATGAAGACGTGGGTCTACTATCAATCGCAGAATAGGCGAGATGAGATGCTGGGGGATTTTTTTTTGCTTTCTCTAATCACAGTTATATTAAAACTACATTTCAAGCCCAGCTTTATGTCTCAATATGAACGTTTTGCAAAGCAACATTGGTCCAGGAATTGCTCAAGATGACCTAATCGATTACTGAATTTCATGACTCTCCGCGGACAGTTCAGTTTATGGGAGGTTGTGCGTCAGGTTAGCTTTTACAGTAACTTAGTGGGTTGTACGCAAAAATGAAAAAAAAAAAAAATTCTGCTTATGATACTTTCTAAACTTGCATAACGTTTTAAAGGCGAATTCCACTTTCATGAAAAGTTAAATAAATATAATAGTAAAAATATTGCTACACAAGTGGAACTTTATCTGAGCACCACAAACCAGAAATGTTGTTTAGTCCCTTATTTAGTACCTTACTAACTAACCGTTCCGTACCATCCCTCTCTGCCAATCCCTCCACTGGCCCCACTCGGTGTCCTCCAGTCCCCCTCCCCTCTCTGCCAATCCCTCCACTGGCCTCCACTCGGTGTCCTCCACCCCTCTCTGCCAATCCAATCCCTCCACGGGCCTCCACTCAGTGTCCTCCACCCCTCTCTGCCAATCCCTCCACTGGCCTCCACTCAGTGTCCTCCACCCCTCTCTGCCAATCCAATCCCTCCACGGGCCTCCACTCAGTGTCCTCCACCCCTCTCTGCCAATCCCTCGTCTTACCTCCACTCAGTGTCCTCCACCCCTCTCTGCCAATCCCTCCACTGGCCTCCACTCTGTGTCCTCCACCCCTCTCTGCCAATCCCTCCACTGGCCTCCACTCTGTGTCCTCCACCCCTCTCTGCCAATCCCTCCACTGGCCTCCACTCAGTGTCCTCCACCCCTCTCTGCCAATCCCTCCACTTGCCTCCACTTGGTGTCCTCCACCCCTCTCTGGCAATCCCTCCACTGACCTCCACTCGGTGTCCTCCACCCCTCTCTGCCAATCCCTCCACTGGCCTCCACTCGGTGTCCTCCACCCCTCTCTGCCAATCCAATCCCTTCACGGGCCTCCACTCAGTGTCCTCCCACCCCTCTCTGCCAATCCCTCCACTGGCCTCCACTCAGTGTCCTCCACCCCTCTCTGCCAATCCCTCCACTGGCCTCCACTCTGTGTCCTCCACCCCTCTCTGCCAATCCCTCCACTGGCCTCCACTCGGTGTCCTCCACCCCCTCTCTGCCAATCCCTCCACTGGCCTCCACTCGGTGTCCTCCACCCCTCTCTGCCAATCCAATCCCTCCACGGGCCTCCACTCAGTGTCCTCCACCCCTCTCTGCCAATCCCTCCCACTGGCCTCCACTCAGTGTCCTCCACCCCTCTCTGCCAATCCAATCCCTCCACGGGCCTCCACTCAGTGTCCTCCACCCCTCTCTGCCAATCCCTCGTCTTACCTCCACTCAGTGTCCTCCACCCCTCTCTGCCAATCCCTCCACTGGCCTCCACTCTGTGTCCTCCACCCCTCTCTGCCAATCCCTCCACTGGCCTCCACTCTGTGTCCTCCACCCCTCTCTGCCAATCCCTCCACTGGCCTCCACTCAGTGTCCTCCACCCCCCTCTCTGCCAATCCCTCCACTTGCCTCCACTTGGTGTCCTCCACCCCTCTCTGGCAATCCCTCCACTGGCCTCCACTCGGTGTCCTCCCCCCTCTCTGCCAATCCCTCCACTGGCCTCCACTCAGTGTCCTCCACCACTCTCTGCCAATCCCTCCACTTGCCTCCACTCAGTGTCCTCCACCCCTCTCTCTGCCAATCCCTCCACTGGCCTCCACTCGGTGTCCTCCACCCCTCTCTGCCAATTCCTCCACTTGCCTCCACTCAGTGTCCTACACCCCTCTCTGCCAATCCCTCCACTGGCTTCCCATTGCCCAACGGATAAAATTCAAACCATTAACAATAACATATAAAGCCATTTATAACTCTGCCCCAAATTACATCACCAATCTTGACTCCAAATATCACCCAAACCGTACTCTCCGCTCCTCGCACGACCTCCTGCTTTCTAGCTCCCTTGTCTCCTCCTCCCATGCTCGTCTCCAGGACTTCTCCAGAGCTTCCCCCATCCTCTGGAACTTTCTACCCCAATTTATCAAACTATCACCTACTCTGCTCACTTTTAGGCGATCTCTGAAAACCTATCTCTTCAGGGAAGCCTATCCTGCAGTCAGCTAATAATGGAATCTTCTACACTTCCTACCAGTCCATCCCCCACAGTTATTAGCCTTTGTACCACTAGCCCCTCCCTCTTAGATTGTAAGCTCCAAGGAGCAGGGCTTTCCTAACCCTCTTGTATTGAACTGTATTGTTGCTGTATTGTCTCCCGTTATATTGTAAAACGCTGAGCAAACTGTTGGCGCTATATAAATCCTGTATAATAATAATAATAATTCATTTTTAATATTCACAGCAAAGTCACCCATCCATCCATGTCTCCATGCTTTCTTTTGTTGAGAAATCATTTTAACCACTTGCCTACTGGGCACTTTCACCCCCTTCCTGCTCAGGTCAGTTTTCAGCTTTCATTGCTATAGCGCTTTGAATGACAATTGTGCAGTCATGCAACACTGTGCCCATATGAAATGTTTAGGATTTTTTTGAGACAGATAGAACTTTCATTTGGTGGTATTAAATCACCACTTGGTTTTTATTTTTTGCTAAACAAACAAAAAAAGACCAAAAATGTTCACAAAAAAACCCACATTTTTCTTAGTTTCTGTTATAAAATATTCTCCTTCACTCATGTGCACTGGTGAGGCTTCACTGATGGGCACTGATGAGGAGGAACTGATGAGGCTGCACTGATATGTAGCACTGATGGGCACTGATAGGCAGCAGTCATGGGCACTGATAGGTGGCATTAATGGGCACTGATAGGCGCCACTGATGGGCATTGATAGGCGGCGCTGATAGGCAACACTGAGAGGCACTGATAGGTGGAACTAATGGGTACTGATAGGTGGCACTGATGGGCACTGATGGGCATTGATAGGTGGCACTGATGGGCAGCACTGATGGGGCTGCACTGATCATTAGAGCACTGATGATCAGTGCTCCAATCTGTGTAAATGTCCCCTGTCCCACTTGCCAGTTACTGGCTCTCCTTTTCCCATGCTGTGACAGCGCATGAGGAAAGAAATGCCAAAAACAGGCAAGTTTGTTTACATGTGATCAGCTGTGATTGGACACCACTTATCACATGATAAAGGGCCACTGTGATTGACCCCTTACCAAGATCTGTGATCAGCAGTGTCTGAATGATATATATTGATCAGAGAGCGCACCGGATGTTGTTTCAGATTCCTACCTTTTGGTATGCTGCAGGAATAGCTGTTTATTTGTGTCCATGTGCAGAGTGAATCTGTATGGGAGTGGTTTTATGATTATCAGTCAGCTGTTGCACCTGCAGGGCTCTAATGAGGAAATTGGCAGGGTCTGCATCCCTTTAGACGTGATATCCTATTGGGAGTATCTCAACAAAAATGACATTTTGTTTGATGCCTGAAATCTGACTTGTATCTTCATGCAGACTTCTGGTAAAATCAGTAGGCCAATCACACAAACAGGAAAGGACATTTCTGGATGGGGGGATCTGTACACCGTCTGTGTACAGAATGCCTCCCAACTGCCATATTGCATTGAATTTTACAGAAAATAACAGTGCTATAGACTGAAAGGTAAAGGTATACCATATGGAAGAAAAATATATTTGAAATATATTTTAAAAATATTCTTCCCAAATATACAGTTGCAAACGTTTGGTTGAGGTTATTGCTGCCAAAGGAGGGTCAACCAGTTATTAAGTCCAAAGGTTCACATACTTTTTCCTCCCTGCACTGTGAATGTTTACATGTTATGTGCAATTAAACCATGGCAACATCTAATGTTTGTGTAGTATTATGTTCAGCAGACTGTGTCCTTCTATTGTTGTGACTTAGATGATGTTCAGAGCACATTTTATACCAATTCATGCAAAACTCCACGTAATCCCAAGGGGTTCACATACTTTTTCTTGCAACTGTATTGCCATATATTTGAAATGCTACAATTTTGACCATATTCAATATATTTAAAAATATATTTCAATAAATATATATATATATATATATATATATATATATATATATATATTGTATGTTGAAATTCGTTTTTATTACACAATATATGAAAAATATTTTTAAAAATACATTTAAAATATACTGTAGGTCTATAAAAATACAAATCTATTTATACAAAATACAATGCAAAAATATTTGTCATATATCTTGAAATATATTTTGAAATATATTGAATATAGCCACATTATTATTTTTTTATTTGCTCATTTTTTTCCCCCAACAAAAGTGGAGTTGCTCTTTAAATCTGACAAACCCACTGTCAGTTTTCAAATGGAGGTGATCCAATGGCTGTACAGTTGTTCAATCACTTCCATGGACCCCCGATACACCCCCCCCCCCCACCACCACCACCACGTTTCTTGGGCTCCACTCTTCCATCTGTGAGCTAAGGACTTGTTTTGCTGGTGTTGCCATATAGAGGGAAGGGAGACCAGCAAACATCAGTACTACCTTAAGCAATGAAGGGCCTAAGGAGAGGATGAGAACAAAGGACGTCCGATCGGCTGCACTCCAAACAATCCACTTTATTGAACCAAGATAAAACCAATGCAGACAGTAGAAATACATTGGGGGACTGGCATTAATGAATAAGCACACTTTTACCTTCCAGTCCCCCACTGTATTTCCACTGTCTGTATTGCTTTTACCTTGGTTCAATAAAGTGGATTGTTTGGAGTGCAGCCGATTGGACGTCCTTTGTTCTCATCTATGCAGCACACGAGCTGGGCTAGCACCTACAGCTTTTTTTCGCTCGGACATTTAAATCAGCATCCCATATTGCAATACAACATTTCTACCTTCTTTTTAATACCAAGTGAACTTTGTTGGCTTTGGAATAGCATTTTGGGTACTCTCATTTGCTGAACTACATTTGTCCATATTTGTATAAAACCAGACCTACTTAGCTATACCATTCCTTTCAAAAGACATAAAACCAACCAAAGGCATTTGTGAACCAAGACCCCTTCCATTTGTATACAGAACCTCAGAATGTCTCCAGCAGTTCAGATCTGAGATCCAAATGCTATAATACAACTTGTACAAAATGTCAAAAAATAAAGAAAATGAAAACTTTGCGTGATAAATGTTCACTTTGGTCTTTCCGACCTGCTCCACTCACCATTCACCATCCTATAAAGTGCCAGTTGCCGTACAAACGCTGCTCCATTAACCCCCTCCGCCTGTAACGGGGCTTGTTCTGCAACAGAGCAGACAATGTTTCCCCCTAGCTTGGGAAGATAATCACTGGATGTGTTCCCTTTGTCATTACGAATATCATTATTTTCTGCATCATTTTACTGAAGGGAGCAATGTCTTGACATTTAAAAAACACACACTCATTAGTAACATAATCCTGGTATGCCTGGAGCGCAGCAATTAGATAGCGGGTAAACTCCAATTTTCATACTATTTTCAATGTTCCTGTCTGATATTATTTCACATTGTGGAGTTGGTAGCATCTTACATTAGCGGTGTTATATCTAGTTCAGTGGCTGTTTGTACATGGCATTATTCACGTTTAGGTGGCGGGCTGGGGGTTGGTGTAACAAGACTTTCTAGATATGTACAATGACAGCGAGATGTACGCCTGATCACCATTTCCCCAACGTTGTTTTCTCCAGCCCAGTCAATTAAAACTATTGTCACAATATATTTGAGTCATTTTTGCGTGTATTTTTTTTTTTTAAATCTCATTTTTTTGGTTCAGTTATTCTAAACGGAATTGCAAATAGCAAACAAATGTGTAATCCTGAGACTCCCCATTAATACCCAGGTACTGAACCTTTTTTTTTTGGAAGGGGGGGGGGGGATTGAAAGCATTCTCAGGATAGTAAGACTAAAATATTATGCTGTCTTTAATGCAATCGGCAGATCAACTCATTTCACATGACTTCAGTTTTGCTTTTCTACATTGTTGTAAAAAAAGAGACCAATTGCTCAGCCGCAGTGTACATACAGAAGTAGATGAGTCATAGGAGTAGCTCCTCTCTTTTAATAAGCTCCAACATTCTACACCATTAAGGTCAGATATGCTGTTTAAAGTGGTTGTAAACCCTAACATTGTGAAGTGGCTGCAGGGGTGTCCCTAGGGTTGATGTCACCCGGTGCGATAACACTTGGTGACACCCCCTCCAACGATCCTCGCAGAATGGATCAGATCTGCGTATTGGGGAGGATAATGGATCGGACTCCGATCCATTACGCTCAATCCACAGATCCGATCCATCCTGTGGGGATCGTCAGCTTGCTTTACAACTTACCTTTTCATGGAGCAAGCCCGGTGTCAGCCTGTATAGGTTGCAAGCTGAAGACCCCCGCAGGATGAATCGGATCTGCAGATTGGAGTGCATAATGGATCAGACTCCGATCCATTATGCTCATTCCGCAGATCCAATCCATCCTGCGGGGATCGTCGGCTTGCTTTACAACTTACCTTTTCATTGAGCAGGTCCGGTGTCACCCTGTATAGGTTGCAAGCTGATGATCCCCGCAGGATGGAACGGATCTGCAGATTGGGGTGCATAATGGATCAGACTCCGATCCAATATGCTCATTCCGCAGA